ACCGTGTTAAATCTAGGCGCTGATTAATGTGTAACAATTAGCCAATTATTGTGCCGTTTGGTGGGCTAGGGATACTACAGGCCCCAGGCAACTGCGGCCTCTGCTCTGTACGCCTTGGGCTGTATTTTGACAGGGGGTCAAGCGCAGGATTCCTAAAAAAACCCATTGGAATGCTGACGGGAAAACATTGTTTTCAATGGAAGGATTAGGCTCAGAGTACACGAGGGCAATGGAGTCCGATCAGCCAATTACGAAGCTTTGGTTAATCAGTTTACGATGTAGTATCCTTACTGTGTGCTCGTCGTTCTGAAACGCGCTGCTGCGGCATTCTCAGTGAGGCAGATGGAGTAGTAATCACCCAGTTACAAGATTTTTTTGAACGATCCTTGGGAACTTGTGGCCGCACTTATGTCTAGCGGTTTCCACCGCATGTTCTTGATTTCCCAATTCGCAGTTGCATGGTGTCCACGTATTGTGCTCACTAGACAGAAGTTAAGCGCATGTCTGATATATCAAGAGTGTGCTGCGATAAATCTTGCGAAACAGCGGTGTTTTAGTAGTCCTATGTGATTCATGGAGCAGTAAAGGTCAGGGTGTTATTCATGCTCTTCCCCCACTGAGTGCTTCTTTTATTATACGCTATTAACATAACCATTAAGCAGGAAAGAACACTTACATAAACTCTCGCTATGCCTCATCATAACAACATTGTTTGTCTCAAAAACGCATTTCACGGCATGTCTAAAACAATACTAGTGGCTGGAATGTAACTGGCGAATTAGTGAAAGGTTAGGTTGTTCCACTTAGTTCCATTGATCCATTGGACGCGGTTACTGACACTCATACAATCACAAGGAATGAAAATCGTCGGAAGTTTTATACGCAGAGAGAAGCTAGATAGGCTACAGTCAGAACGTGGGTACGGTGCATCTTCGTTGTCAGGAAGACGCTACTTCTTCTAGAGTATGCGTTTCGTGTTTTCAATGACAAGGCCTACATTTTGCCTCTGGAAAAAAGTGATTGAAATTGAAAATAATTCGATGGAGAATTTGGTTGCATCTGAACAGCTTTTTTTAAAGCACTTGTCAACCTTTCGCATGCTCATCGGCTTTAAATTCCTTGTCTAGCACGGCTCGGCGGAGGTTTGTTGTCACGCCCATTTAGGCAAGATCCCCAGAATCACATAGTGGTGGATAAAAAAATAAAAAAAAACGTCGGTAGCGGTCATATGTTAAGTAATACAATTAGTGCACTCGCACGGAAACGAGCGAGTAGAACCCGCCTAGGTCAGAGAATTCCGGGTAATCAGCATTAACGTGGTAGCTTTCGGAGGTAACTGCTGTTGCAGTGGTCCAATGTTTCAAAATAAGACAATATAAATTGGTGATGGAATGACTTTCTGCCAAAAATAATATTTGGGCAGCATGGGAGGCCCTGACGTATAACATGAAAAGCAAATAACGATGGCGCTGGCTTTCGTGAGCCGCTGGCTGAAATTCATCGGACTCCCAAGAATTACCTCGGGATTTTCGTACTGTTGTTTGCCCAAATGAAGAAAAGAAAGAGTGCCAAGAAACAGAATGATCTCACCTTGAAGCGATTGAACAACTTATATCCTTCAGGTATTCGCAACATGTCTTCTCATGTGCGGATTGGGCTTCAACTAGCTTTCCACATTCACCTAAGAACGAGCAAATGGTATCAAGCGTGACA